ATGGATGCACATACACACAAACACACTTAGTTTTATTCGCGAACACATGCATCTATGTATACACGCATTGCTTCTGATCAATATATGTTGTAATTGTCTCGCATTCTGTCGATACATAGGTTTCTTGTACAATTGCAGTCTGACTTTACTTTATTACAAATGAAGTTTGGTGTATGTTCTTTTGTTGAGGTCTTGACACTTAGTCACTGCTTATATTGCTTCAACCGCAATCGCGGGATAGCTGCCCCCACCTACCCACACTTAGTCACCTACCGATTGAACCTTTAAACATTTGACCGTACACCCATTCGACCATCTCGCCATCACCCTATCATTGCACCGTGCCATTGGATGGTCGAGCTTCAACGCGGCACCCTACCATCCGATGGCGGGGCTTCAACGCGACACCCCACCATCCGATGGTCGGGCTTCAACGCGACACCCCACCATACGATGGTCGAGCTTCACCGCTCGACCCGACCGTCCTGCCATCCTGCCATCCTGCAACCCTGCCATCCTGCCATCCTGCCTCCCGACCATCCTGCCTCCCGACCATCCTCCCTTCTTACCATTCCACCATTCTGCCATCTTGCCATCCTCCCATCCTCCCATTCTCCCATCCCACCACCCGATCATCCAACCAGCCAGGCAGCTGACCATCCTGCCACCCGACCATCCCGCCTTCTAGCAATTCTACAATCCGACCATCCGGCCTTCCAGCAATTTCACAATCCGACCGTCCGACCATTGGATTGTCCAACCATTGTGCCATCCGTCCAGACTAACCTGAACCCTGTACCTTCAGACGTCCGACCGTACACTCATTCGACCATCTCGCTATCACCCCGTCGTTGCACCGTGCCATCCGATGGTTGGGCTTCAACGCGGCAACCTACCATCTGATGGGGGGCTTCAACGAGGCACCCCATCATTCGATGAGCGGGCTTCAACGCGACACCCCACCATACGATGGTCGAGCTTCACCACTCGATCCGACCGTCCTGCCATCCTGCCATCCTTCAATCCTGCCATCCTGCCATCCTGCCGCCCGACCATCCTCCCATCTTGCCATTCCGCCATTCTGCCATCCGGCCATCCTCCCATCCTCGCATCCCACCACCCGACTATCCGACCAGCCGGGCAGCTGACCATCCTTCCACCCGACCACCCGACCATCCCGCCTTATAGCAATTTTACAATCCGACCATCCCGCCTTCCAGCAATTTCACAATCCGACCGTCCGACCATTGGATTGTCCAACCATCGTGCCATCCGACTAGCCTAACCTGAACCTTGCCACCCGGCTACCCCACCGTCCCGCCATCTGACCAGATGACCATCCTGCAATCCTGCCATCCAAGCATCCTGTCATCCTCGCATCCTGCCGCCCTTCCATCCTTCCATCCTGCCATCCGACCACCCGACCATCCTGTGTTCTAACAATTTCATAACCCCATTATCCATCCGTTTGGATGGTCGACCGTCACCGCTCCATCCTGCGGAATGGTCGACCGTCTCAAAACTATGCTAAAGACGAATGTGTCTGTTGCCACAGTAAGGACAGTCGTACACGTCTCTGCTCCAACCAATAGAAAATGTCACTGCTTTCTTCCCCCCACGTGTGTACTTTTTTCTATCGAAAAGAACGTCCAACGTGTCATCTCGATATTCGACGGTGCACGATATCTCATCATAATTGTCAAATAGATAATGAACCTGACTGTGCACTAAGCATCCTATCCTCATGTCGAGCTCTTTCCTTAGAGCATGATCATGAGATATTCGAGTTTTGAAGCGCCCAAGCGATCCAGCGAGTGTAGGGTCGTTAAATGCTTCCTGAGATGTAAGTGTGATATTGTGAAACTCCTCTCTAGCAAGGAAGAACGTATTGATTTTTTTATCGTTCACCTTGGCCGCTGTGAAAAGTGTCACAATGGTGGTGTTACGATTCAACACCCGGATTCGACCATAGAAATCTACAAAGATCGGGAACGGCAGGTGCGGTTTTCCGAGGCAAAACCAAGCACATTGTTTGGCGTGTTTCCTGTCCCGCTCTGACCATTGCTGCTTTATACACAATGTTTTCCACACATCAATCATCTCCGTTGGTGTAACAGGGTCTTCAGTACTATCCTCGGCGTCGGGCTCCACATCGACTTCTTGCTCCAACGAGTACAAGTACCAGAAGTCTTTGCTGTCGTCGCGATGAAGTTGTATGTTGTTGCCTCCCATGACCCAAGACATGGGGATTTCACCGTCCGGCGCGACATTTCGGACAAGGTGCAAATAACGAGAGTCTATGCCGACGATATCATGTTTCCATATATTTTTGTCGAATATTATAAGATCCAAGGCCGGTGTATTTGAATTGTTGCCTTGTGATGAAGTGTCAGTCGATGATGCGTTGTTGTGCGATGCATTGTGGTTGACATTCATCCTGCAATACGAGAATAAGCACGACGAACATAATGTAGCATATGTTTCACATTTTGTCATTTCCATGCACATTCAGTCACTGCCATATGCATCTTTAACATTTCGCAAGCTTTGACAGCCTTTGATATAGGACCCCCCCACCCCCCCCACCCCCCCTCCCCTCGGTTATGAGTAAGAGGCCAGCTCACATCACAAATATGCATACAAATGAATACAAGGTAACATAACTGTTACACGTGTTTCGTCTTCTCTGCATTCAAAATAGGAACCCATTATGACTCTTCCCTCGATCCCTTTAACGACAATGTCTTAACCAGCAATACACCTGACACAAGACTTTGGTAGGTTTGCCAAATCCACGGGACTCTATGTGAATCCCACCAGTGTAGCCAAATACCATCCTACCGCAAAATCATCCCGTCGTCCTACAACTGACCATCCCACCATCCCACCAACACACTATCATGCCGTCCTATTATCCTACTATCTTATGGCCGAGCTTTGTCACGATCCACGATCCTATGATTGAGCATTCCCCTTGCACACATGGTCGTCATGGAGCACTTGTCTAGGTTTTCTCTACCATCCCGCCATCTTGTAGTTGAGCGTCATCATTACAGTGATTGGCGACCTGCATAAGTTCTTCGGGTTTGCCTGACCATCCCGCCATCCTCCTATCCTATAATCGAGCATCCCACCATCCCGCTGCCACACCATCCCCCATCCTACCATCTGATAGTCGTGTTTCGCCATGACACCCGACCATCTGAGAGCCAAGTTTCGCCATGACGCCCGACCATCTGCTAGTCGAGCTTTGCCATGATGCACTTGTCTAGGTTTTCTTTACCATCCTGCCATCTTGTAGTCGAGCGTCATCATTACAGTGATTGGCAACCTGCATAAGTTCTTCGGGTTTGCATGACCATCCCTCCATCCTCCTATCCTTCAATCGGGCATCCCACCATCCCGCTGCCACACCATTCCCCATCCTACCATATGATAGTCGTGTTTCGCCATGACACCCGACCATCTGAGAGCCAAGCTTCGCCATGACGCCTGACCATCTGGTAGTCGAGCTCCGCCATGACACCCTACCATCTGATAGTCGAGCTTCGCCATGACACCCGACCATCTGATAGTCGAGCTTCGCCATGACAGCTTACCATCTGATAGTCGAGCTTCACCATGACACCCGACCATCTGACAGTCGCGTTTCGACATGACACGCTATCAACTGATAGTCAATTTTCACCATTATGGCAATCCATAGCCTGTCGCCCTATCAGCCCACCATCGTAGCAATCTACCAACCTGCCTGCCTACCGTCTCGCCGACGTCACAATGAACGATCCTATAAGTTTCACATCCACACACCACTAACATTACACCGTCCTATCATGCGATGGTCGAGCTTCGACATAACGCCCTGTCGTCCGATAGTCGAGCGTCCCACGGTGACAAACAATCCTCTTATGTCGCCACCTTGCACCCTGTCGCACTGGGATCTTACCATCATCCCATTCTGCCACCCTGCTGATCTTCCACCCTGATATCTCACTTGCCTACCATTGCACCATTCAAAGAAGTCGGCGTCCTACCACCATACCAGCCTGCCATGTTACAATCGATCATCCCACCATCCCGCCAACATTCCTCACCGAATAATCGATCATCCCACCATCCCACCATTCAAAGAATTTGGCGTCCTACCACCATACCAGCCTGCAATAACCGATGTGATTGCTCACCTTGAAGACATAGATGTCTTCGCGGAACACAACCTGTTCACGCAAGCAACACCGAATGGGATTTGGCCGTTCATCCGCTCGCAGAGTTGCTTCATACAGATGTTTTTTTTTAACTTTGTCTTCTTCGTTTTCTGCACTATCCCTGTAGTATACACCCAACGAAGTACTTTTGTAGCACTTGTTACAACAATGCATGTTCTTTTGCTAATATAAAGCAGCATTGCGTCTCTAATCACACTACAAAAGTGCATCACGTGACGGGATATCCAAAATTCTTCATCGTCCGTCTCTTCGTCGACCAACAGTCTGCTTCTATCGATGCGTGTCGCACAATGTGTCATTCCATGACGTGCTTCAAAAGCAATACATAAAACTTTTCCTCGTTCACAAAAGCGCGAATCGCATAGCCAGCCAGAACCATAATATACATTTTTCCATTTGTCGATGCCCTCCTTCTTATACATCGCGGCAGGTTCGCACGTGTTAGCCAGTTTGAAAAGTTTTCGTTGCATCTGCACCGTCCAGAATTCCGTTGTCGGGTAAAACATGGATTCGTCTATTGATTGCAGGCCGATAACGGTCATCCTTTGCCTGGTCCGGTAAGGTATAAGGTCATCATACTGAATCACCTTCCCCCACTTATCCGCTCGGCGACGCCATGCTTGTTCGATCCCCAGCTCCATCGGGGTTGCAACGATTTCGTTGTTCCGAAGAAACAAATGACATATACGTCAGATGATGCAGTAGTCATTATGTGCATTCAGCGTGCGTGATCTACTGCTGCCAACGATTTGATTGCCTTCAATGCGTCGCTCTTCCTGATTTTTAATCCAGTTTTTTCCTTTCTTTTCGCTTTTCCATCCCCATGCCACACATGTTATGTTTTGCCATCCAAGCGAAGATTCATTCTCAACTCGCCATGTTTTGTTCCACGCGTCTTCGTACAACTTACACATATCGGTCTCTTTGCCCTGTGGCCTCCAATACTCTACGAGAATTTGCTCAGAGTCCTCAGATTTCTCTTGCAAACGTCCTACCCAAAAACTAACTCCTTTGTCCGCATTCTCGTCTGGAGCGCGCATCACTACGAAAGAACCGATATCAACATGCTTTGCCGGGTCGAACTCCGGTTTCGGGGTATCACTCTTATAACCTACGAAACATTGCTTCCTCGGCGGTGAATCAACAATAGGAAGTTCCATCTTCACCTCATTTACGCTTCCCGTCATCGGGGTTGGCCAGAACGGAGTTGACAACGGAGCGGGTTGTGAGGTTTTTTCCTGTTCCAGCTTATTGAACATGTCTAACTGTTTCTCCCAGTAGTCCAGACGACTTGTTTTCAACTGACGTTTCCAATCTTCATGTTTCTCGAATTCTGGCCGCTCGTCTTTCCACTCCTCGACCAAGGCACTCACACCTTGGCGACCTTTGACAAAGTCTCCATTGTCATGCAACTCGTTCCGTGATACATGCACAACTTTATCCACAAGTTTCCTACTTTTGTTTAAAGAAGCCGCACATGACACTCTCGTGAAAGCACATCCGGTAATAGTCAACTGCACACAATAGTATGACACAGGTTGTGGAGAAATCCCTGGGCAACGGAGTGGGTACTGCTCTAGGAATGAACAATGACGAGCGCAGTCTACCAACTCTTGTTTCTACGAACTTCCCCAAGTTCGTGGCGAAAAAGTGATGTATTCGCAATCGGGGCAACTGCCGAAGTGGTTAATGAAGTGGAATGATTTACGCATACGGGTTAGGAACTTGGGCTTGAGGACACCATCAAACACTGGAATGAGGTTCCCGAACTCTAACATATTGACAAACTTGTAATGGCTTGCCAAAGGCAACCACTCTCCATCGCGTTCCAATTACCATTGTTCCATTCATCAAGATCAGGGTTGTCGAGCCCCGGCCCCGGGGCCCCGGCGGGGTTCCGGGGTTTCGGGGGTGGGCACCCCCAAGCCCGGCTCCAGACCCCCCCGCAAAAAAAAAAAATAAAAAAAAAATCAAAAAACAATAAAAAAAAAAAAAAAAAAATAGTGGGGGGTGCGCAGCGAAAGCGCGCACCACATGGGCTAAACCCCAAAAATGGGGTTTTATGC